CGACGTCAGACTGACTGGCCTGTAATTTCTCGGATCTCCTCTGAAACCCTTTTTAAAGATAGGAGATCTACAAGTTCACAATTGAGTTCTTTCAGAACTCTCGGATGTATGCCATCTGGGCCTGGTGATTTATCAGTTTTTAAGTTGTCTATCAGTTTTAGGACCTCCTCTCTTGTCACCTCAATCTGACTCAGGTCTTTCAACACCCCTCCCGAAATCAGTGGTTCTGGAGTGGGCAAGCACCTCTCATCTTCCACAGTGAAGACAGGGGCAAAAAATGCATTTAGCTTCTCAGCCATTTCCCTATCATCCTTAAGTACTCCTTTTACCCCTTAGTCATCCAAGGGCCCCACTGCCTCCCTGGCTGGTTTCCTGCTCCTAATGTATTTGAAGAACGTTTTATTGTTGGTTTTTACGTTTTTTGCTATACCCCTCCCATTACAACCAGATTGCAGTCTTGCACATAACTCTCAGAAAGACAACCAGATGGGGCCCAAGGAGACTTACCCCCGAGTAAATGTGCTCAAAATTCTCAGCAATGCACTCTTGACTGGGTTTGTAATAAGCCCCACTGAGCTCCCCCTCCCATTACAACCAGATTGCAGTCTTGCACATAACTCTCAGAAAGACAACCAGATGGGGCCCAAGGAGACTTACCCCCGAGTAAATGTGCTCAAAATTCTCAGCAATGCACTCTTGACTGGGTTTGTAATAAGCCCCACTGAGCTCAATACAACGACCTCGCTAGACTGGTTGGGACGGCAGCCTTCCTTGGAAAGAACGCCCATGAATGTCGGTCGGACTCCACTCCAGATGACCTTCATCGGGCATTGCAGGCCGTGGCTGGTTGGCTCAGACTGACTCGGCTGAAATTAAACCCGGCAAAGACGGAGGTCCTGGGTCTGAGTCGGATCGGTCCGGGGTTGGGGCTCCCTCTCCCGACCTTCGACGGGGCGCCATTGGTGCCGCAAGTTTGGAAGCTGCAACTAGTGCAGAATGCTGCAGCCAGGCTATTGATGGGTCTTCCTAGACGAGATCACATCCAGCCTGTGCTGAAAGCGCTGCACTGGTTGCCAATAGTGTTCCGGATTCGCTTCAAAGTGCTGGTTCTTACCTTTAAAGCCCTATATGGCCAGGGACCAGCCTACCTAAGGGACAGCCTTTCCCCACATGTTCGCTGGAGCGTTCTACACAAGAGCAGGAGGTCGGCGCTGGCGGGAAAGAAAAGGAACCTCCGCTTTGAGCAGCTTGAATGACAACTAGCTGCGTCTGCGCATGGCGAGGGGGGGCGAAATTAATCTTGCAAACTATGGTGAGGCTGCGCCACCACTTGAAGCCAACAGAAGAGAGCACTTGTGCAGTAGAGGAACCACTTCAAAGCCCCAGGAAAAGGATTGGGACAGCACTTCAGTTTACAAGCTCAGCCAATGGGTGAGCTGGGGCATTTTCTCTCTCTCTCAGCCGAACTCGTCTCGCAGGGTGGTTGTGAGCTGGAGAGCTGATGAGGCGCAAGGACTCAAGGGCTGGAGCAGTTATGCATCGCCACGTCTGGGAGCCTTCCTCGGCTCATTGTCTCCAGCCGGATCCTTTTGGTCTCCTTTATTCCGGTTGCCATTTTGGCTGCTGGGAGCAGGGGGCAGGGCTTGCTGCATGTGCCCGCCCCCTGGCATCCTTACTGCAGGAGCATCGCTCCTGCAGGAAATGAGGCCTAGGATAAACATTGTTTATCATTTGAAACCATGTATTCTAACAGAGAATACCAGAACACTAAAAATCGGTGTCTGTGTTTATTATTATCAGTCTGTATGTTATTATAAGCTATCTTTTCCATAACATAAAATTACCAGATCTTATCATACTATAAGGTGTGGACCCAGCCGAATTGGCCAACTATTGGCCGGTGTCCAATTTGCCCTTTTTGGGCAAACTTATTGAGAGGGTGGTGGCGATACAGCTGCAGGGCTTTCTGGGTGACGCTTCCGTCCTAGACCCCTTCCAGTCTGGCTTCCGCCCGGGACATGGGACGGAGACTGTATCGGTCGCCCTTACTGACGACCTCCGATGGCATCTGGATCGAGGCGGTGTGGCGGCGCTGTTGTTGTTAGATCTGTCGGCCGCATTCGATATGGTTGACCATGAGCTGCTGACCCACCGTCTCGCCGACGTGGGGATTCAGGGGCTCGCCCTTCAATGGCTTACCTCTTTTCTCCGTGGTCGGGGACAAAGGGTGGTGATAGGGGAGCAGCAGTCCCGGAGACACCCTCTTGTATGTGGGGTGCCTCAGGGGGCTGTTCTCTCCCCGTTATTATTTAACATCTATATGCACCCCCTTGCCCAGATTGCCCAGAGGTATGGGCTTGGGTGTCATCAATATGCGGATGACACCCAGCTCTATCTGATGTTGGGCGGCCGGTCGAGCTCTGTCCCTGAAGATCTACACCGGGCATTGCAGGCCGTGGCTGGTTGGCTCTGACTGAGCAGGCTGAAGTTAAACCCGGCGAAGACGGAGGTCCTTCGCCTGAGTCGCGGTGGTTTGGGGTTAGGGCTCCCTCTCCCGACCTTCGATGGGGTGCCTTTGGTGCCAGCGCCGGAGGTTAGGAGTTTGGGAGTGCTCCTGGACTCCTCGTTATCTATGGAGGCCCAGGTGGCAGCCACTGCCAAGTCAGCCTTCTACCATCTGCGGCTGGTGCGGCAGTTGGTCCCCTTCCTCGACCGCAGTGACTTGGCCACAGTGATCCATGCGACGGTCACCTCGAGGCTAGACTACTGTAACGCTCTCTACATGGGGCTGCCTTTGTCGCAAATCCGGAAGCTGCAGCTAGTGCAGAATGCTGCGGCCAGGCTGTTGATGGGTCTTCCTAGAAGGGACCACATCCAGCCTGTGCTGAAAGCGCTGCACTGGCTGCCAATAGCGTACCGGATTCGTTTCAAAGTGCTGGTTCTTACCTTTAAAGCCCTACATGGTCTGGGTCCAGCTTACCTAAGGGACCGCCTTTCCTCATATGTTCCCCCGCGAGCACTTCGGTCCGGGACCCAACATCTCCTGGTCATCCCAGGCCCCAAAGAGGCCCGGCTGGCTGCTACCAGGGCCAGGGCTTTCTCGGTGGCGGCTCCTACCTGGTGGAACGAGCTCCTGGAGGAGATCCGGGCCCTGCGGGACCTTGTGCAGTTCCGCAGGGCCTGTAAGACGGAGCTCTTCCACCAGGCGTATGAGTAGGATCCGCCACTACCAACACCATCACTCCATCTTTACCTGGCCCTGGAGGAGGGAACACTAGTGTTCCCTGGAGGAGGCAGATGATGCTGAATAGTTGAAACACGCCATCTTTGAAATACCATGTTGAACACCTAGAGCACTTTAGTCTACAATTTGTCAAAAATGTTTTTGTATATTTGTGATTTTAAATGGTTTTATATATGTTTTGTATTGGCGTTTGCCTCCATGTAAGCCGCCCTGAGCCCGCATTGCAGGGAGGGCGGGGTATAAATTGAATAAAATAAATAAATACATACATACATTGAAGGGGGTAGATCAGGGGTGTCGAACTCATTTGTTATGAGAGCTGGATCTGACATAAATGAAACCTTGTTGGGCCGGCCCAAGTACGTCATAAAACGTAATGCCAGGTAGCGGAGGTATAAACTTTATAAAGGACACAAACACAAAGGTTTTTTTTAACCTAAAATAAAAACATGCTTAAAACATTAGCACTCTTGCCATATTTTGTTTATTTACTGTGGCTTATGATTGACTCCTCTTGCTCTGAATTACTGCATCAAAATGCCTGTGCTGTTGCAATCTTGACTATGCTGTTCAGGTGTGAATCTGTAAGCTGCAAGGGGGCAGAAGTCAGCCAATTCCACTGGGGGGCGGGGCGCACCCGGCCCCCGGGCCGCATGTTTGACACCCCGGGGGTAGATTGTGTTCCCATCCACCGGCCCCTTGTCCCACAGTTACCAGACCCTGTTAAATAAACAAAATATTAAAGGAGCGCCAATGTCTCCGGCATGTTTTTATTTTAAGAAAAAACCGTTTCCTGTCTGTGTCCTTTATGAAGTTTCTATCTCCCCGACCGGGCACGACCTTTTACGACGCCCGCGCGCGCCCGCGCACCCGGCACCCCCCCCG